GCACCAGCTCGCCGGGATCATACCCGACGAGCGCCTCACAGTGTGGGACGCGCTGCTGCAAGGCCTCGACAAGTACCAGTGAGTGTGTGTGTGTTTGTGCATGCCTTGTGCTGGCCACCCACCCTCATGCGTACCGTGCTGGCCTTCATAGGTGCTCGCTAACAGCACTTGCCCCAACAGTCTGTTAAGGCTATACGGGGAATCTTTGTCTTTGCATGCCTTGTGTGTGTCTTCTGTGTGTGCGTGCCTTGTATGGTTGTCTAGTGTGTGTCTTGTGTGTTTTTGTTGCTTGTGCATGCCTTGTGTGTGTGCCTGCATTGTGCGTGTGTACCTTGTGTGTCTTGTGTGTGCGTGAGGTACCTATAATTATTAGATCACCCTGTACATATTACCAATTACTGATGCAGCCGATCACAAATTCTCCACATGGGCCATAATGTATACATACATCCCATTTTTCAATCCACTACTGAATGAGGGCCCCCCCCCCCCACACTGGTCAGTGCAGGTTGGTGAAGGTAGGGGAAGCACAGGACAACGATGGATCTTGCTGCACTGATATGCTGCCCACGTGCATGGTGGTTGCCCTTCAAAGCACTGTCTATATCTCAACCCTGCTCGGCTTCTGAAGTCTGACGGGACGAGTTGGTAATAGGTGGGACTAATAGTAGGTGGCCACAAACAAGACTACACCTCTTTGTCTACACCGTGTGGGGTGCAGCACGGTGCTGAGTGCCAGAAAGGGCCTCGTCGGTGAGACCGAAGCGCTCAGGCGGCAGAACGCGGAGCTGCGTTTGCTGCTGCAGCAGTACATGCATACGCGGGTAAGACGTGCAGTACACTGGAGACACAACGCACGCAGCACATGCTGAGATCCACAACACACCACATACACATCATGCCACGCACACCACAATAACAGCCGCCATATTCCACTAAGCGGTGGTAACGTCATCACAGAAATTTGTGCCAGGCTAGGTGTACTTTGAGGCCACGTGAAGTGCCGAAGGCTCGCTGATAGGAGGTTACAGGACAGACCCAGGTACCATGGGTTGACTGACTGAGATGACACATGCCATATACACCACTTACTGATATATACACAATGCCACACACAAGTCACAAGCTGATGTACACACCACACCATGCATGTGTAGTGACATCGCGGATGTCACTGTGTGGTGCCGGCCCTAGAGAGGCACGGTGTGCGATGTACTCACATCACGGACATCACGTATGTATAGACATCGTGGATGTCACTGGGTAATGCCTGCTCTAGCGAGGCACGGCGTGCGATGTATTGCCATCGCGGACACCCCGTATATGTGGGTGTAGTACCAGCCCTAGAGGGGGCTCGGTGAGCGCTGGGTCACAGCGCTCAGTGGCACCACGCGTAGCATGCAGTGCTCACTCCTACAGGAAGGAGTATGAGAGTGTCAACCATGGGGTGAGGTTACCCCAGGCCATGGCACTCTGGTTGACCCTGGACGGCACGTGACAAGTAAAATCTACACAGGGGCCCCAAGTGGGGAGCTAGGGGTGGTCACGTGTCAGGCGAGATCCTGCTAGAGTATTGGAGAAGGTGGTCGTGGCCAAGGGCGGGGCCAGCCACGACCAGTGAGGATATAAGCCGGGTCCCCAGAGGGACCGAGGTTGAGCGTTGCTGTTGTCATCCTGAAGATCTATGTTCTACGTCCGAGAAGAGTCACCAACACGTGGACCTGGACCCAAGCTGGGGTCCGGTCCGTTGTAGCTACTCCCAGTGTAGTTAGTGTAGTTAGCCTGGTGGTCCACCACCATAGTGTGTAGTTAGCCTGGTGGTCCACCACCATTGGGTGTAGTTAGCCTGGTGGTCAACCACCATAGTGTGTAGTTAGTCTGGTGGTCCACCACCATTGGGTGTAGTTAGCCTGGTGGTCCACCACCATAGTGTGTAGTTAGCCTGGTGGTCCACCACTATAGGGTGTTATCTGGTAAAGGGGCAGTTACCCCTTTGTGTTAAGTGTGTTGGTATTAATAAATGTGTGTTGCCTCCAAAGAGTACGTCTGCGACTTAGTTGAATCCACTACACATGCAACATGCTCGGTTTTAGGCAGTATGGCAACAAAGCCAAAATAAAAAAAAAATAACTAGAATTAATAATTAACGATTAAAATGTACAATAATTATCAAGGACAATGACATTAATAGATCTGCACTTCACTATTATAATAATAAAAATATATAATGTTCAACCATATGTTAGTCCACTGCTGGATGAAGGTTGTGCCAGTAATGGGGGTTATTTGACCATACTTAACCATGTGCCGGGCAATGTGGGTTGGTGAAGGGAGGAGGCCATAATTAGTTCAGATATTACTTGCTACTACTATTATCCATAGCTAGGAAATGGACTCAGGTGAACGGGTTCATAATGCAGTGTGCCCTCACTTTTTATATCTCCTGAGTCTCTACACTCCCCTTCTGCATATCTCTTTCTCTCACATCCACAAATCTCCCTGCACTGCCCCCCATGCCCCACTCACTCCACGCTTTCCTGTGCAGGTAAACCCCGAGATGCAGGAGCCCTCTTCTAAATCCTTCGAATGGGCTGTCCTGCCGTGATCTCCGAACGAGGCTGGGGGTCAAACGAGAATCAAGTGAAGATCACCCGCGAGGAGGCGAGGAGGTGCTGGAGGGACAAAAGGTCACAGCTACTGCTCCAATTACTTGGGGTGCGAGAAGAAGTGAGGAGGCTTTAGAGAAGGCGAGGAGGCTTCAGAGGGGCAAAGAGTTACAATTAATGCCCCCGATACTTGGAGTGTGAGCGTATAATTTGTAATTTCTGGTAATTTCCATGGCCAATTGTCAAAGCGCTCCTGCTAAGCTGGACCTCAAAGACCATGAAATGTCATCACTCACAAGTGACAACCGAAATCTGAATTTGATACATTTTCCTAGAAAATAAATTAATAACGCAGCCTGTGCAACTACATTCACCTATATGCCCCTTGTAAAGGAAGTCATGAATATCAAGTTCAATAAGTAGATGTCAATCGTTTGGTTAAATAAAGGACAACAACTGAAGAAGCTGTTCGATAAATAATAATTATTGGCTGGTGAAGCCTGCATTAACACTGTGAGTGTTCACAGGTGAAACATGTCAGGCCGAGACAGCTGGAGTCTGAAGCTTGGCACTTTCACTTTTCTAGTGCTCACTAGCTTGTTCAACATAGGGCACCTATGTATTTACTTCCAGTGGCTACTATGAAATGATAATGTGCCAAGGAGAATAATGGTCGATTTCATTTTGTCAGGAGAGTGGGAGCAAGGGGAAAACCAGAGCAATGGCTCTAACTCCAAGAAGTGTGGGTTTCAGATATTGTCGTTCTCACATTCACCTGAAATCCTTTTACTTTCCCGCATTTTTATTTTGCTTTTGAGTTATTAAAATACATTTTCCAAATCACCTATTTTTCCACGTTTGTATTTATTTGCAGTTGCAAAGTATCAAGCGTCTGATAATTACGATACAGTGGTGCCCCGGAGATCGAACTTAATTCGTTCCAGAAGGCCATTCGAACACCGATTTGTTCGAACACCGAATTAATTTTCCCCATAAGAATTAATGTAAATGACATTAATTGGTTCCAGACACAATAAATCTCTCATTATAAAGCATTTTTACACGAAGTTTACTTTAATTACATGCATAAAATCATAAAAAAAACAAATAAATGGAATAAATGAATAAATATATGGAATAAATGAAAATTTAACTTCACTTTACCTGTAGTAAGGAGAGTTGATGGCTTGAGTGGAAGGTGGTGAGAAGGTGGTAAAACCTTTGCCTGGGCAAGCGTCACGCACGCTGCTGGCCACACACGTCTCAGCCGTACAGGTTCTTTCAAGTCGCGATTGCCCCGTTCGACCTCCGAATTTCGTTCGCTTTCTGGGGCAAAAAACGTTCTGAAATATCGTTCGAACACCGATTTTGTTCGAGTTCTGGTGCGTTCGATCCCCGAGGTTCTACTGTATAATGTGCAGCCCTTTGTCAATCCACTGCTGAATGTAGGATTCCCCCAAGTTGTGTCAATCGCGGGGGCTATATGACCATACTTCACCACACTAGTCAGTGCGAGTTGGCAAAAACGGGGTCTCGCTGGTGAGATTACACCAGCGAGGATTTTAATTACTTCACTTGGCCCCAAAGTGCACCCAGCCTGGCACATAAGGATCATGGTAACTGACACTTAATGGCGAATGGCAGGTATTGTTGTTGTTGCTGCACAACTTGGGTTTTTGAGACGGACACAAAGCAGGCCGTTCCAACATCGGGACAAGGCCAGATGAATAGTACTCACTCTCACTGCAGAACAGAGGGAGAACATACAAACTCCTCTCATTCTCACTATTGTTTGTGTGTAGTCAACTGTGTGTTCATCTGTGTGTATAGTGTTCACCTGCATGTGTACACTCACATGTGGATGCACCTGCGATCGTTGAACAGTGTTCACGTCTGTGCATTGACCTGTGCGTGTATTCACCTGTGTTCAACTGTGTGTTCATTTATGTGCGTACGCTCACCTGTGTATATTCACCTGTTAAACTGTGGAACTTGTTTGCATTTACCGGTGTGTGAGTACTCACCAGTATGTGTGCTATCCTGTGTGTTAAACTGTGTTTGTTCACCCGGACACAGACTCATAAGTGAGCTCCTCCGGCAGGCAAGGCTGCCTTGGCTTGATCATGTAGCTCACATGCCCAAGCAGCTTCTGATTGACTGGATAGAGGGAGCTAAACAGGCGTGGTTTGGGCTAGAGAAGAGATGAGCTGATGTGGTAGAGGATGTGGAGCTGAGTGGACTTGCCAATAAGTGGTACCAGTGGTGTCAAGATCGGCCTCTGTGAAGGCTTATCGCCACGTGGAGATTTCATTGTCCATAACATGAATGACACCGTTGCCACCATGGGAAGGAAATTGGGAGAACAATGCAGAGAGGAGACAGCAGAGTCAAGAGTGGTATCGAGAAAATGAGTTTAATTATGACAACTCAAGCGACAAAAAGTCCACAGCTGATGGAGAGTTATTTCGTCAATGAGCACACATCTCCGAAGGTTAATTTGCATCTGTAACAACATTTCTCAAAGTACACAATGTGAAAGGTTAAAATTATACACTCTTATTCATATGCATTATCTTTAGTTCAATTGATGTTTTTTTTAATATATACTGTACTTTACATATTTTATAGCCTATCAAGTTGTAGCCCCCATGAGGCCTACCACTTCAAAACGGGCTGCTCACAATAATTACACTGTGTAACAAAAAAATGTTTGTCCCTGGGTAGTAAGTGTTATTTCCTAATTGCTCATGCCTCAAAAGTACAAAAAATGGCTATTATTCCTCACAAACTTTGCTTATGTGACCAGGACAGTGATATTTTGAAATGTACCTATTTTCAATGAGAAAACGTGGTGTGCATTTGTGTCATTCCTTCACATAAAGTCCTGGTCACAAAAGCAAAGTTTGTGGGGAATAATAATAGCCATTTTCTATACTTTTGAGGCATAAGCAATTAAAAAATAACACTACCCAGGGAACAAAAATCGCGTTACATGGTGTTATCCATCACTCCGCGGGACTGCATTTGACGTCAACTGGGCGAGTGAGAGGATGAAACAGTGTGATTGAACAACAACGCAGAATGTTTGCTGCGCACAAGCAGCAGGAAGGCACAAGACCAATCATGCCTGGCATGCGTGCCATGTGATCAGCAAATTGTATGTACAATACTCCAGGCCTTGTCCAGACCACCAGCTCAAGAGATTAATGTGTGGCATGCAATGTAATCGCATAACATGCGTGCAAGGCATGATGGGAGTTGCGAGTGTTGTTAGATTGTATTTGCTTCCAGCCTGCGTGCATTTCCCTGCTGTGGTGATGGGGTTTCTCATCATTTGGAGAGTCTTGGATTTGAAATAGCGAGGGGAAAGCAGCCACAGGCATCGAATGGAGCGGTAAAGGTGGGCCCTCATTCGTTTTTTGTTTGCTTTATTATTGGATAACACTTAAAAAACGTATTAGAATAGAACATGGGTGAAGCGGCTCGGTTTGGCAGAAGATCTGTTGTTTCCCAGCGTGCTGTTGACCATGGGAAGGACTACCTATTGGATAACGCTAACAACCTGCGTGGTAATGCCTGCCAAAGATACCCATTGCGATAGTCCTATTTGACCCTCGATAAGGAGGAGGCTTCCTCACCCCTGTTTAGTGGAGAGGTTTACGCTCAAGGAGTCCAGGTCAACGTCAGCATCCACTTCCCCTGTTGGTGATTGATACTTTTTGTGTGATTTTGTTTTGGCAAAAACGTGCTGACATTTCTCATCAACGAGAACGTTTTTTGGTCATTTTGTCAACATACAAATCTGGTCGAAAGTTGTTTTTGCCACTCAGACGAGCATCGGGCAGATGCAAGCTCCCCTTCACTGCCCTGAACCAGTGGTGGATAATATGATTGTGAAGGCAAATCGCCAGGCTAACCACCATACAGGCTCATGTTATTGACATGAGAGGGGTGACTGGCTGAGACAACCCCGACTGAGATTTGAACTCGCAACTTAAGGGGCGTAACGATGCGTTGGTTAATCCGTTGATGCATTGAAATCGCATTCGAAACAGTCGATGCTTTCCGATTTGCATGCGATGTTAAATGTGATAGGCTCACATGAGCCCAACGGCTAAAAGAGGCCACTGTGTTCACCGCGATGTTAAAACGTTCGTTGGAGCGAATCGCGACCCTGAGCCCGCAACAATTCATAGAATCGATGGCAGGGGGAGGAGGATGAATCATCACATCGCTCCCGGAGAATGTCTCTCTCACAACTCCCAAACAAGCAGGAACTCTAACTTGCAGCATTTGACTTGCAGCAACCGTTCCCTCTTCTTGCGTATCATGACAGTAATGTGTTCAGCAGCTCATTGCCAATGTCAAGGCTGGCTAGCCATGAGAGGGCTTCATGTGGGAGATTGTGTCGTTTTATTCTTCCTCTGCTGATGCAGCACAGGTTACGGTGGTTTACTATATGGTCCATAGTTTGAGTTATATGGCAACTGTAGTATAATAATGACAGTGATTATGGGTAGGGGGGGGGTGACTCATTAATTGCTGTAATTTATTTTAGAATATAGTGAACAAGGGCATATATGTAATATGTATTGGTTGAACTTCTTTCGCACCGTACGTAGCCAACCGTGGCATTGGAATGGCACCCAGTGGTCAGTGACCGAGGCGAAAAAAATAAGAAAAAAATAAATTTAGATGAACAGTTCTTAGAGTTTTGTCGTCAGCTGTGCAGAGGGGAGGAGAGAAGCTATCGTGACGGAATTGGAACGGCGTTGGCCGTCTTGACTTTTAAATAAGCCAATCGTTTGAGGCCGGTGCAACACGTGTTTTGGAAGAGGCTTTGTCGAAAACATTTCGACCCCACGTCATTCTAACACTACAATGTGACAATAAAATTGTATAATGTGTAACGCAAGTGTTTGACCTATAATAATTCTGCGATAATGATGATACATGATAAATTGACACCGATAAGTAATAATAATCATATCAATAAAAAAAAGTAATATGAATGACATTGTGATTAAATAATGACAAAATCTGACAACATAATACAGTCCAATCTCTACAGCTGACATTAATACAGTACAGTAATAGTAACACGTTACATCTTTGGCATAACGTCTATAGCACCAATCGCCTCTCTGGCTCACGCGCACTTTGCTCAAACGACACTGCCAAGCGTTGCCAGAGTCCACAAACCCACCTGGTAATTATTTTCCTCTTTTTAAACCAAAAAAATATCGGTTTCCTTCTCAGATAAAAACACACAAAATGTAAATCGGTGTTAATAAAAGATAAGCAAGCCTGCATGGGCTGCTTTAATTGAAAGGGACGCCTCCATCCTCTCCGTGTATTTAGGCAGCACATAATTCAGGGGAGGTGACCGCACAAGCCCAACACATTACCCATAGCTGCCAGCCTCATCATAACGATGTCAATTATAATTCACAATTATTTAAACGGGGAACGCCCTCACTGATAACCCTTTTCCACTTGCACATCCGAGAGCCGTGCTTGGGACATGTCGAGTCCGCGCGGCAAGGGCCAGGAAGCACAGGTTTGTTTTTTTCCACTGCACGGACCGTGCCACTGACGTAACGCGCAACAGATAACGTCGTGACGTGAGGTGTGTGCACACTGGCGCGAGGTGCATCGTTGCGATTCGTTAGCACCACCCCTAGCACGGCTTGAACTTGAGCCGGATTCAGATGTCTTGTGCCAGGCCAGCGTAGCACGACCTGATACCAGCTCGGCTCGGCAGATAACCAGCGGGGGGAAAAAAACCAAACATCCCTGCCACGCTGGCCCCATGCTGACATTAGCTCGGGTGTGCAAATGGAAAAGTGGCATGAATCTCAAGACTAGTTTTCAGGAGGATCCTGCAGTGGGATGCTTGGCCAATTCTAATGATGGGTCATTGGCTTTGTGTGGGAGGGCTCCGTGCCCGGTGTTCACCCATGCAAGTAAATGACCAGGCTAATCCTGCTTAACTTCCGAGAGCTGATAAGTGAGGGTACATTTAGGGCGATTTGGTCATAAGCACAAGGTATCGCCCTTCAATAGAACTGTGTCGTCGAGCTGGACTTGCGTAATTTATTTTAGGTTCGTGGGTGTTCATCAGCAGCTGGAGAAAACGCTGCCCCGTTTTTAATTAAAGAGCGTCAAAAGTAATTCGGGGCACTTGGATACAAAACTGCGCATCACATATTGCAGCAGGGGGTGCACTTCCATGCTGCAAGCTCTTGGTATTTGCAACTTTCCAGCTGCCCTGTTGCGAGCGATAAAACAGTGCCCATCCCCGTTTGATCCACCAACCCCAATTCTTTTTGGCAGCCATAGTTTTATATAGGCACCCGTTGGACATCATGTCATGATACCTTGTACACTCATACGTATATATATATTTTTAAAAGACATTTGAACACACTTCATTAATTAACCGCAAGGCATTACTGCGATTTCACAAATAATAAATATACACTTATTATTTTTTTACCCTTGTACGATTTCTCTGTGTCGGGATCAATAATAATAGTCACCATGAATGTGTCCCCACGCTCACAAGAGAGTTGGGTAGTGCTTATCTCCGCACTCAGTCCTGAGCCAGAGGTGAAAATTCCACATTACTATGACAAGAACCATGTCTCCTGATGAATGCAACAATTACTGTTTCTGAGTTCTATGCATCATTGGTGCTCATTGTATCCACCCAGTAGGGATGGTTATGATGATGATGGTTATGATGATGGTTATGATGGTAATGGTGGTGATGGTTTTGGTTATGATGATGGCTGTATGGGGAGGTTATGGTTGTAGTATTATGTTTATAGATGATGATAATGGTGATTGCTATGTTGATTGTGATGATATTGAGTGAAGATGAGGATTATGGTGATGTAAATTTTCTTTGATGAGAAATCGATCATTTTTTATTGATGTTGGTGATATATTAATGACGATGATTGTTATTTATTGATGATGACGAATGGTAAGGCTGAGTCAACCCTAACCAGCATAGTCAACTCACAACAGTGAAATCACAAACCTGGCCCTTCACCGGCCAAGCTATTATGACAATAATGACAATGCACTGATGAAACCCAACTAGCCGGCAGGGTGGAGATTGTGGAGTGGGAAGGGAGGAGTAAAAAATATCTGAAGAAGATTCCTCTGCAGTTATTGCTATGGGGCCAGAAATGCAAGAATGGCCTGAGTAATAATAATAACAGCGATTATATTATTGGTTCTTTCGGTAAAGCCACGTAGAAGGGAAACAATAAAATAATAAAATATAATTCCCTTCTACGTGACTTTACCGAAAGAACCAAGAATATGAATCCCTGCAGTCACGAAAGCTTTAAATCAAAATTTAACAGCGATCATAATACTCTAAGTAATGCTGATGTTGAAAACCCTTCATGTGATCACCGTTACTTTAAAATACCTTAGCTGAAGTTAAATAAATACTGTAAATTTTTAAACCTAGGCACAGCCAATGAAACTATGAGTGCACATGAAAGATATCAGGTTTTGTCTATGAACTCTCCTTTTAATCTTCACATTTGCAATTCTAGGTGCCTTTATTGTAGGAATGTGCATATGTATGTGTGCATGTATTGTAGTATATTAGTACGTGTGTGTGTATGTGATTGTTGTTGCATATGTACGTATGTACATGAAGTGTGTGTGTATGTTGTGAGGAGCAGTGGTGTAGTGGTTATTGCACTGCACTCTGAACTGGGTAACCTCCATTTGATTCCCACACAACCAACATCAGTGGTGGGTGATATCTGAACATGCTCCGGGTCTCTGCTAGTTCGACTCAATCTAAAATGGGTACCTGTTGATGTGTGTAAAGATTAGCACCGGGGATACAAAGGTGGCTGTTTGTGCTGGTGGCTACACCACCCATTCATGTGCTGTGCCGGCCTTATCAGGTTCGAAGATAACTTTCCCCACATATCTTTAAGGCTATACAAAGAACCTTTGTCACTGGTGTGTGTGTGTGTATGTGTATTACGACTTCAATAGGTGCTCGCTAACAGCAGTTACCCAAAGCAGCATTCTATCAGGCTACATGGGTGATCTCCGAGTGCACGCTTGTCGCACAAGTACACTAGCACAACTATAATCCCGTCGACCAGAGTTCCATTCCACATCCTCACGTGCGGCACACTCAACTCTCAACTCGGCCTGTGCCTCGCCAAGGTCGGCTCGGCCTAAAACCAGCAGCGTCTGCACAGCGTCGGCGGTGGTCCGAGAAGAATGCCACCTGCGTGAACGTCCTCGACCTCCCGACGCTCGCGGATTCTCCCCCTAACCGTCCCCGCCATCGTCGTCACCGTCGTCGTCACCGTCGTCGTCCCGGTCGTCGTCGGCGTAGCCGACAGCGTAGTGATGCACGTCCTTGTCCTCGTAGAGCAGCGCGGCGCTGAACGTGGAGTAGGGGTCGTCCGAGGCGTGCAGCCGCCCCTCGACGAGCTCCAGGCAGAGCGTGTCCCCCTCGGACAGCGGCAGCACGGCGTGGAGCACCGCCACGCCGGGCGGCTGGGCGCCGTCGGCCCGCCGCGGGCCCTGCGCCTTCTCGATCTCCTCGGCCCTCGGGCCCTCCGAGTCGAGGTGGAGCAGCGAGACGTTGGATCGGCTCAGGATGGCGAACACCTTGCTGCCCCTCTCCGCCACCAGAACGGCGCCCACCAGGTACCGTCCCGAGATGGGCGCCGTGAACATGCCTGCGCCGTGGCCGGGACGGCAAGCGGAATGAGAATCGTCAGAATTCTTCATTTGGACTGGAGGAGGAATACCGATGAGCTATGAAGCTCTTTTTCACAGATGTCCGGTAGGGGCGGGTCAGAAAGCTACTTCAACAAACAATACAAAAACCCAAAGGAGTGCAAAATATAAAAAAGGAAGCAAGTCATGATTAGTAAATGAAAAAAACCTACAAATTGCAAAACTACATCAATTCCTTTCCGATTTTCCAACACCAAACGCAAGCTTGGGGCAAGGCAGCAAAACAACAACAACAGTCCCAGATCACACCAAGACAACACACAGTCCCTCAATAAATAAAAGTGCAGATTAAAAACAACACTTTCACGGTTGCTGTGCATAGGCCCAAAAGCCCAAGGCGCCAGCGACAAATGTGGCCAGTGACAAATGGCACTGTTGAAGGTGTGATTGACAAGAGTGCAACACGTTATGTGGACTGAGCGAGGTCTTAAGAAGGGTCAATGGGTGAGCGAGCGAGCGAGTCTAAGGGTGAGCGAGTGGATGGAGAGAGCGGTTGATGGCAGATTTAGTGAGTGAGTTGGGAGAGGACATTATCGGTGAGCAAGTGAGACATTTGGGAAAGGAGTTCATTGGCGAGTGAACGAATGAGTTGGGCGAGCATTTAATGGGGAATTGAGCGAGTTGTGGGAGACCTTTATTGGTGGGCGAGCGAATGAGTTGGCAGAAGAGTTGACATGGGGGTCGAGCGAGCTGAGAGAGGAGGAGTGGGGGGTGATAGGCGAGTCGGTGGACACGGAGCCACTTACCGGTGTTGGGATTGTAGTGCCCTCCGTCATTGAGCAGGATGTTGTTGAAGTGGATCACCTCGTCGTGAGGCGGCCGGTACCTCAGGGCGGCGGTAAAGGCCACGCGGTGAGAGATGGCGTCCTTGCCTGCACGCGCACAAACAAAGAGAAAGATCCCCCGTGTAGCCTGAACAATAGAAAGATGCCAAAGGCCGTCCGGCATGGCGTGGGCTTGTTGCGGCCTTATGCTCCACAGGGAGCAAGGATGAGTGAGTAAGTAGCCTGAACAGAGTTCTGAGGCAAGTGCTGTGAGCGAGCAGCTAAGGAGGCTGGCTGGCACGGCACAGAATTTAGTGGGTGGCCAGCACCACGCCCGACAGCCTGTGTCTCCCCAGTAGCGAAGTTTACACATTTCACCAGGTGTTGGCCCTTGCGCAGCGCACTAACCTCTGCGCCACTGCTCCCCACACTGACACACACACTGACAAAAAAAAAGACAAAGATCCCCCGTATAGCATTAACAGACTGTTGGGACAAGTGTTGTTAGCGAGCACCTACGAAGGCCAGCACGGCACACGAGGAGATGGGTGGCCAACACCACGCCTGGCCGCCTTTGTCTCCCCAGTGGCGATGTTTACACACCACACCAGGTACTCATTTGAGGCTGAGTCGACCTAAGGCAGGCCGGTTCAAATAATTGTCACCGGTGTTGGCCATGAGCGGGAATCGAACTCGGGTCTCCGGGCTCATAGCGCAGCACACTAACTGCTACACAACCGCTCCCCACACATTGATGCACACGCTGACACACACACTGCAGTCACCTGCTGGCCCCTGCACTCCAGGCTGGCCAGGGAGGCCGTCATGTCCACGCTCCCCTCTGAGCCCAGGGGGTCCTTGGGCCCCGGGGGTCCCGGGAGTCCCGGGGGAGCCGGGGAAGCCGGGGGGCCCTAGGAGGCCGTTCATCCCAGAATTCCCAGCAAGACCCGGAGCGCCTGGGTGCCCGGTGGGTCCGATGGGGCCGACTGGGCCACTGGGTCCAGGAAGACCACTGGAACCGGGGAGGCCGGTGGGTCCAGGAAGGCCGCTGGGACCAGGAAGGCCGCTGGGACCAGGGGGACCGGTGCGTCCGCTGGGACCAGGGGGGCCGGTTGGTCCAGGAAGGCCGGTGGGTCCGCTGGGACCAGGGGGGCCCGTGGGACCAGGGAGGCCACTGGGACCAGGGAGGCCACTGGGACCAGGGAGGCCAGTGGGTCCACTGGGACCAGGGGAGCCGCTGGGACCAGGGGGGCCTGGCATGGCGTGGCGGGTCCTCCAGTCTGGGGCGGGGGGGGGGGGTCCAGATAGTGGGACATGCATACATGCATGTGTGTGTGCGCGCGTGTATGTAAGCGTATAGATACGTGCACGACAAAGGAGCCAAAGTTGTCACAAGTTAGAAAACTCACGCGTGCACGTGGATTGCGTATCGCTGTATACGGGATCACCTAAGCGAGAATTAAAGTGCTCCAACGCAGCCTCACCCCTACCACCTCCTGCTCCGTTCCGGATTTATGCAATGACAAACCCATAAACGTTTGCAAGTACACACTGTTGCAAGTACACACAATCAAGATTGTTGACGTGTCCGTTTGAAAAGCGTTACGTTTCAAAACGGTCGGGAGTAACTCATTACACTGGTCGTGCTTTTAATCACGTTTCTGGTGATGATGAGCTCATTTAAAACATCAACGATTATGATCTCGACGATGACGATTGTAAAACAATGATTGCTCATCACGAATGACAGGAGTTACAAAATACACGTTTAAAATTACACAGTGGACAATGCTTTGAAAATGATGACAAGACTGCTGCTGCCATCTTTGACATCACACCCATCAACATCATCAGTTTGTGCCAGGGTTCCAATTCAAAATTATGACGGTTCATAGGAAATTATAACAAATGTAATTATTATTTGCCGATGCTGCTGGTGCTGCGTTGTCAGTGGTGGAGAAGCACAATTGACAAAATATCCTCAACACACTCGTCAATATTATTGTTGTGGCCTTGGGAGATGAAATATATATAATCGGCGACGTTTCGGGCAATAACCCTTCTTCATGGCACATAAGCAGATAGGCCAGAGAGATAGAGTTAATAGGGGTTGGCAACTATATATACATATGTTGAACTTCTTTCCTACCGTGCGTAGCCAGCTGTGCTAATCAGAGGTGCGGGGGAAGGACAACAGTTAAGATTTAAAAGTGCATAGCTCCAGTGGCTTCCTAATATCGGTAGGAAGACTGTACTTGTTTACACTATGGGGCCTGATGACCAGTTCTTAAATTGGCATGTGAATAGTCACACTATTATTAGCTACCGGGTACCAGACAGACCCTTAAATAACACAAAGTCTGACGACCAAATAAACGAATGTATTACTGAAAGTAAAGTAGAAAAAATATTGCTGGCACAATGCGCTACGGGGGAAGGATTGTTCTTGCGAGGGCAAACGAGGTGGAAAATCAGCGATTGCGATAACGACGGCGGCGCCGACGCCTGCGTGTCGCCGCCGCACCCATGGTCAGCTTGTGCAGGGTGCCGTTGAGGTGCTGCAGGGCGTCTTGCGTCCGCCCGTCGCGCTCCCCGGTCCTCGCGCGCTCCCGCTCGCACGCGTCGGCCACGCGCGCCGCGTCGCCCTCGAGGCGCGCCACGCGCCGCTCCAGCTCCTCGCAGCACGCGCCGGCGCCGCCGCCGCCGCCGCGCCCTCCGCTCTCCACCTGGGCACAACGTCACCCCCCTCTTTCGCACCGTGCGTAGCCAATCGTGCTGATCAGAGGTGCGGTAATAGGTACGTATATGTGTTGAAACTCGTTTGCACCGTGCGTAGCCAACCGTGCTGAACGGAGGTGCGGGGGAGAAGGCAAGCGAAACTTATTTCACAGTGAAGCTGCAAAATTTACGGAAACTGCGAGCATTGGAAACGTTTACGCTTTGCCTTGGTCACACGCCCTGGACTCTCCTCACCCCTGGATCCCCCAGACCCCGTGGACCCCAGGACCAACCCCCCCCCCCTCTCCTCCACACCAGACCCCCCCGGACCCCCTGGTCGATGCCCCGGACCCCCGTGACCCTCACCTCGTTCCACAGGTCGGAGAGTTCTCCCTTGAGGTTCTGGAGGGCGCCGCCGTGACCCCGGATCACCGCGCTCTGATTGGACAACGCCTCCCGCACCCATGACACGCGGGCGTCCAACCGCCCCTCCGCCTCCCCCAGCGACTCGTTGAGCACCCCGATCCGCTCCCGCACCACGTCCAGCGGGGAGCGGCCCCCCGCTCCGCTCTCCCCCTCCTCCTCGCCCTCGTCACCCCCTCGGTCGCCCGTGACCCCGCCGAATAGTCCCCGCCTCCCACCGGGCGTCTGCCAGACGGTCAGGTTGACGGCGTGGATCCGCTGCCGGTTGGCGTCGCACTCCGCCGCCGTGCTCCTCCACCGCTCCGTCACCTCATCGCGGAGCCGCGACACCTCCTCGCGGCAGCCCCTGGGGCACTCGTCGTCGTCGTCGGTGCTCGGGGACGCGGCTCCTCCCGTGCCCAGCCCCAGCAGCGCCTCCTCCACCTTGTCGACGCGCGACCCCGTACGCCGCACCTCGCCCGCCAGCGCCGAGAGGTTGGCGGCCACGGTGGCGCGGTGTCGGGCGAGGAGAGAGTCCACGCGCCGGGGGTCCGGCGGCGGGGCGCCCGTCAGCGCGGCGAGCCGCTCCTCCGCCCCGGCCAGGCGGCGCCGCAGGTCGCCCAAGAGCTCGGCGCCGACGCCGCCGTCGCGGGGAACGCCGGGCGCAGCAAAACCGTCGAGCGCCGCCCGCAGCGCCGCCACCTCCTCGCCGAGCCGCGCGTAGCGGGCGTTCATCTCCCCGCGCAGCGAGCCCACCGACTCCTGGAGCATCTCGCCCGTCGTCTCCTGCCAGTGGCGGCAGCACTGCTGCGTGCCGCTCAGCGCCGTCGACAGCCGCGCCTCCGCGTCGCTCAGGCGCTTGCCCTGCTCCTGCAGCTCCCGGAGGAGGTCGGTGCCGTCGCGTCGGCCGCCGCCGTCGACCGCCGCCGCCGCCAGCGCGGCCGCCGTCGAGCTGGCGTTGCTCTCGAGTGCGTTCACGCGCCGCCCCAGCTCGGAGCAGCAGGCCTCGGCCCCCGCGGCGAGGCCGTCCAACTCCGAGCGCAGGCGCTGCGCCTGCTCGTCGACGCGGGCCCGGCACGTGGACGACAGCTGCTCGTGCGACCGCTCCGCCGACTCCCGCCAGTGCTGGTGCCGCTCCTCGAGCGCCGACAGCTCGGACGCGCAGCCGCACGCGCCACCGCCGCCGCCTCCTCCCGCCCCTCCGCGCTCCTTGTCCAGCGCCGACCGCACCTCGTTCACGATTTCTCCGCGCAGCTTGGCGAGCCTGCGGTCGAGCGCGCCGTTCGGCGGTTGCTGGGGCGGCGGCCGTGCCGCTCCCCCGCCGACCTTGTCGAGGATCTCGTTGATGCGGGCGCCGTGGCCCGTCACGGCGCCCTGCAGGTGGTCCAGCACCTTGCCCTTGCGCGCCAACGTCTCGTTCACCTGCGCGATCTTGCCCATGATGTCGCCGAGCCAGGGGGCCGCGCCTCCGGCCTCCCCGCCACGGCCGGGCGCGTGTCCTATGGCTCCGTTGAGAACGCTGCTGCTGCTGCTGCTGCTACTGCTGCTGCTACTGAGGCTGTTGCCGTAGGTGTTGAGCAGGCTGCGCAGCTGATTGCTGTCCTCGAGAAACGCCCGCTGGAGGCTGTGCACCGTGCTGGAGAGGGTGTTCACGCTCTGAGCCAGGCGCTGCACGTCGCTCTCCAGCTGACGGAACCGGTGGCCGTTGGCTGCGACGCGCAAGGAGGGGGGGGGGATGCGATGGCGATTGGAGATGGCGCCGTTAGGGTGGCAATTCGGACAGATGTAACGATAACGAGGCCCGAAGGTGAGCTCGCAAACAGCAGGAAAGGCACGACTCCCAATCGTGCCCTGCGTGCGTGCCGTGTGACCTCCACATTGCGAGCGCGATGCTCTCAGCCTTGTTTAGACCACCAGCTCAAAAGAGCTGAAGCAGCAGGGCGCAATGTGGGAGTCTCGTGACTCGCCCCACAAAGCTTGGCGTCAATCGTGGATTCCAGCCGTTTGCGAGTAACACACATTCGTGTTCCGTTATTTCTCTTTGTTGTTTTTTTGTCCAGCCTGCACACATTCTCCTGTTGCGATGGATCAAGAGTTGCGATTGAGAGTTGGCCAGGTGGCTCAAGAGTTACGGGCACTGAGCCAGCCCACCCCCAGAGATCCTGGAGTTGAATCCGGCTTTGAGCAGCGAATGATTAAACCGGGTTCTCAAGCTCAGCGAGCGGGTGATCTTGGCCCTGGCACCAATGACTGCTCTGTGACTGAATCATTTTAGTTTGATTGCCATGCAACAAGCACTCTCGGAGGGAGTGTATATGATGCGTACCCCTCTAATGTGGGTATGGAAATATTTAAGTGGCACAGGGTGATACACTGCGCGCTGTGAGAGTTTTCTTTTGTCTCAGGACCTAATGCCGAAACGTGGGGGCCGAGCCCAAAATGGAACGTGAATCGTTGTGCCGGCTAAGGAAACCCCCGCTCGGAGTCGAACCCGCCACCCCGTTTACCTGCAGGCCTCTGCGGCTGCCCCTGCCCATTGCCGTGTCCAGGCGGCATGGCCGCCCCCGTGGCGACCCCTTGCGAGGGTCTTTGGGCGTCCAGGGACGTCGGGACCCCCTGCGGAGGCCTGCGGGGATCGTTGGGAGATCCTTGGTCGACGCCCGGCGGTCTGGACTCCCCGCCTCCTGTAGGCGTCCCGGGCTGCGACTCCTGGCAGGAGGGCCCCGCGTGCCCGGGACAGCACCGCCACTCGACGGCCTGGACGCTCTTGTAGGCGACGCGGTAGCGGGGCCGGACGCATGCGCGGTACCTGGGCACGCCGACGCCGGCCTCGTTAACATCCTCGTCGTCGTCGTCATTGCAATCGTAATCGCCGTCATCACTTTCATCATCGTCTGCATCTCCGATTAGCACGGGTGGCTGCGTAGGGCGCAAAAGAAGTTCAACATACATACATCGCCCGCGCAATCGCAACGAACACCATCACGGACGTCGCCTCTGCCTTGAATCGTCAAAAAAGTGATGAAGGCATTTTGTGGGTTGGAGGGCATTGGCTTGGGCGGAGGGCATGTCCTCACGTGATGATACGGGGGCAGTTGCGCTGCCCCCAAGGGCAGGGCTGGTACTCGGCGCGCGCGTACGACTCCACCCCGTCCTCCACGGTGCAAGTGGCCGAGCGTGACACCACAAACGCGCACCAGTTCCTGCGGGAGGGACGCGCGCACACGCACACGCACGCACGCACGTTGAATTTCTTTCGCACCGTACGTAGCCAACCTGCGCCAATCGGAGGTGCGGGGGAAGGACAACAAAAAAAGCAGTTCTAAACAAATGAGTTTTCAACCGAGATTTAAAAGTGCATAGCTCCAGTGACTTCGTAATACGGGAAAAGCGTTCCAGACGGCCGCAGAAGCGCATTTGAAGGCGAGCGATGCAGTGGCCGTCTTTGTTCAATGGTTAGCCACACACCAAAGATCCCCCGTGTAGCCTTCACAGACTGTAGGGGCAAGTGCTGTTAGCGAGCAGCTATGAAGGCCGGCACGGCACACGAGGGGGTGGGTGGCCAACACTACGCCCGGCCGCCTTTGTCTCCCTAGTGGCGATGTTTACACATCACACCAGGTACTCATTTGAGGCTGAGTCGACCTAGGAGAGGCCCAGGACCGGTTCAGATAATCGTCACTGGTGTTGGCCGTGATCGAGAATCGAACGCGGGTCGCCAGGTTCGTAGCGCAGCGTACTAACCGCTACACCACCGCTCCCCACTACACACCACGCACACACGCGTGGAAACACACAGACAGAGATCCCCCGGGTAGCCTTAAACAGACTACTGGGGCAAGTGCTGTTAGCGAGTAGCAGCACCTACAAAGGCTGGCACGGCGCACGAAGAGGATGGTTTGGCATCAGCACCATGACCCGGCCGCCTTTGCCTCCTCGGTGCCGATGTTTACACACACTGCCCGGGGTACTCATACGAGTCGAACCTAGGGGAGGCTCAGGAACGGTTCAGTTATTTGTCACTGCTGTTGGCCGAGAGAGGGGATTGAACTCGGGATGCCGGGTTTGGAGCGCAGCACGCGTAGCCACACGACATTCCCGCTCCCCACTCGTCTATAACAAACTGGGAAGCGCGTGCGTTAAAGGAGCCCGAATTGTGTTAGTGCGCCTACTCGTGTGCCTGTGCGGGTGTCCGTGTGTGTCTTTGGAAGGCGGTTCGTGAAGGACGCTCCTGGGCACTTGGAGGCAGTCACCCTCCAGCAACAGCGGAGGACGGAGGAGCGACGCTCAACAACAACAGCAACGAGCGGAGCGCCGTGCGGTTCAAACACGGCGAGTTGGCACAGTGGGGAGGCACAGCTGGCGAATCTGCCAGTCATCTAAGTCAAATCAACCCATCATAACTCCAGGGGTCTGTCCCGTGACCTGCCGGCGAACCTTCGACACTTGACGTGGCCTCAGCGTCCACCTAGCCTGGCACAAGCCCTGTGATGACATCACCGCCACTGAGTGGCGGGTGATGTTTGTTGTCCACTTGTGTGTCTGAGGATTGCCTGTGTATTTTTTGGTGCATATGACGATGTGAATGTGGATGCCAACACCAGTGATGATTCTAATTATCTGAACCGATGCTGGGCCTTCCCGGGGTCGATTCAGTCTCAAATGAGTACCTGGTGTAGCGGTGTGTAGTAAACATCGCCACTGGGGAGACAAAGGTGGCCGGGCGTGGTGCTGGCCACCCACTTCCTCGTGTGCCGTGCCAGCCTTCATAGGTGCTCGCTTATAGCACTTGCCCCAACAGTCACAGGCTATAAGGGGGGGATATTTGTATTTAGTCTCAGCATATACAGGCCACCCCCATTAGTAGCTGGCAGCTTCCAGTTACGATTTTTTTTTTAAATATCTGTGCGTTGGTGTTGGTGAGAGCCGTGTGGTTGAACGTTTCACTGCGATTGGTTCGGGGATTTGTCTTTTTTGTCGGGGTGACCTGGCATGTAGAGGCATCATATTTCCCAGGCTCGGGAATTTTTTTTTAAAATCCGATAAACTCTCTGAGCCGCTTGTTGTTGCAGAGATTTGCGGTTCGAATTCAGCGGCCACCCTGATTAATACTGCGCGGTGTAACGACTGTATATTCGCGTGTCGGGCAGCAGACTCGGAATTTGCCAAATGTAAGAATGACACCACAAGTTACTCAATGACACCACAAGTTACTCAATGACACCATAAGTTACTCAATGACACCACAAGTTACTCAATGACACCACAAGTTACTGAATGACACCATACGTTACTCAATGACACCACAAGTTACTCAATGACACCACAAGTTACTCAATGACACCACGAGTTACTCAATGACACCATAAGTTACTCAATGACACCACAAGTTACTCAATGACACCATAAGTTACTCAATGACACCACAAGTTACTCAATGACACCACAAGTTACTCAATGACACCACGAGTCACTCAATGACACCACAGGTTACTCAATGATACCACGAGTTACTCAATGACACCACAAGTTACTCAATGACACCACGAGTTACTCAATGACACCACAAGTTACTCAATGACACCACAAGTTACTCAATGACACCACAAGTTACTCAATGACACCACGAGTTACTCAGTGACACCACAGGTTACTCAATGATACCACGAGTTACTCAATGATACCACAAGTTACTCAATGACACCACGAGTTACTCAATGACACCACAGGTTACTGAACTGAGACCGCACACGCACGCATGCGCATCAGTGACCATCGCTCTTGCTGGCAAACTCAATGCCCCTGGTTACTCTTGTAAACGTGAGTTTCTCACCTCCGCGTTATAACAACGGGGCGCATTCCACGTTGTGCGAAAAGTGTTCCCTCGCGGAAGAACCGCGTCACAGCGTGAACACGCGTTAAGCGAGGATTTACCGTACTCATTTTATTTGGGCTCCAGAGGGTTGGTGGGCTGAGTCAATCCCCAAACGCCACGGTGGGCTCCACGGTGGCGAGATGTTAACTATCTCGCCTGGTATGCAGGAGGGCGTGGGTTCGATCCTGATCCTGACGCCTGCTGTACATTTGGAGTGTGTGTCTCTCTCCCCATGGTCGCGTGGTTTTTTCTCCTCCGATTTTTCCCTCCACATTTAGAATCAACACGCGTTTAGAGTACCTATTTTCCCGCATATAACCCGCGGGGTATACCACTTTTTACAAACAAAACAAGACCCTGTGGGGTATATGGAGGTGCCGGCTATCTGAAATTTGTTTTACACAAAACGCTATTTTTTCGGGGTATATGCGTCTGCGGGTAATATGCGTATGCGGGCTATATGCGGGAAAATACGGTATTTGGCTGCTGTAAATATCCACATAAGCCACTTCGTTGAGCTATCATCTGTGGCAAGATCGCTTCTGAAAAAGATCTATATAGCTCAGCGGGCCTTACCTGGTAACATAAACAAATGTATAATTTAACCAGGATTGGAACTCGCTCGCTCTATGGCTACAGAGCCACGTGTTTGTGTGCAATCATCGGTAACCGGGCTGAGACGACCAGCTCGCTGGCACTTGCAAACCTTGGTTTGTACGTTATGTACATTGAACTTATTTCGCACCGTACATAGCCAACCGTGCAAACCACATGGTGTGAGCTGAATCCCGGATCTAAAGCCAGGATTTCAGCAGTGCCGGCTTCACTGTCCCACACTGCGGTATCCAGTATCTCTCAGTAGACCTTGGATGCAAATTATTTTTTAATCCCAGCAAGTGTTATTATCCCCATACCCCCCCCCTAATTAGTTCCATGTGAGTGGCCCGAGCTACCAATATGCAAGTGGTTGTGGGGTAAACCACTTAATTTAAAAGGGGGGTTAGATGGAGGAAAGTGAGTTGGTGGCTTGTGGGATGAACGAGTTTGGAGGAAACGGATGTGGGTTTTTTTCCCATTCATGCCTCATTTATCCTCACTTGTGTTTGGGCAAATAGTCATCGTGTGTACACATGTGGGTGGGTGTGCGAGTGGTTAGTGTGTGTGGGTAGTGCGTACGCGTGCGTAGGTGTGTGTGGGTGTTAGTATTCGTATGTGGTTGTGTGTGTGTGTGTGCAGGTGTGTGGGTGAACCAGGATTTTTATGGCTATCAACCTATAGGGGAGGTCCAAGACAGATGCCACTTGGCACCGAGGCGCAGCAACATGGTCAAGAATCGAACCAAGGTTCCCCACATTGTAAGGCAATGTACAAACAAAGAAAAAGACCCCCCGTATAGCCTTAACAAACTGTGGGGGCAAGTGCTGTTAGCGAGCACAGATAAAGGCCGGCACGGCACACGAGGGGGTGGGTGGCCAACACCACGCCCAGCCGCCTTTGTCTCCCGAGTAGCGATGTTCACACACCGCACTGATTATATTATCTGAACTGGTCCTGGTAACTCCCTTAGATCGACTCAGCCTCAAATGAGTAGCTGGTGCAGTGTGTAAACACCACAACAGGTACTCATTTGAGGCTGCATCGATCTAGGGGAGTTCTAGAACCGGTGCAGATAATCGTCACCGGTGTTGGTCGTGAGCGGGAATCGAACTCGGGTCGCCGGGTATCGTAGCGCAGCGCTTTCAGCTACAAGACCGCTCCGCGCACATTCATGGACACGCAGATGCACACACTGGGGGGGGGGGGGGGGGGAGTACATCTGCAATATATTTCCACTTCATTTGTCCCATCTGTCACGGCACGGGCGTTAGTCATTTCCATCGCACAGGAGTCAGTTGAGGGCTCATTCGGAGCAGTCGCTCGACTCGATCCATGATTCGCTGCGCGCGAGACTCTCACTTGACGCGTCTGTTTATCTCGGATCAAGGATCGCGGAGCGGGCTCAGCTGGGGGATTCAGTCTGCGGTAGATGTATGTTCATGTTCATGTGCGTGCGTATGTTGATCTTCTTTCGCACCTTCGTACGTAGCCAACCCAGCTAAGATACAATGCGTATCACTTTGTGGGAAAGTCAACAGTGGTTATTCAATGGCTACGCCCGCCCCTGCCATAGGAACGTGGAATTTCCATCACTAGCTCTGGGCTGGAAGCATGATTTGAACCCATAAACTCAGCAGTCAGTGGTCTGGAAGGCTAATAGACTGATGGGCCAAAATATATAGTTTGTAATAATTAATATATGTGCTTATATATGGTTTAACCCATAATCTC